CCCCCTCTCTCTGCTCTAGCCAGGTTCTCTGCTGCACCCACGTTTAAGCCTTGTATTGAAATCTCTGAATTAAAACCCTAAAAAATAAAACAAAACTTGAGTTTGTGAGCATGCTAAAATAAATAAATTCGTGAGCTTCAAGTGGATTTGTTTAAGTCTACTACATAAGTAATGAGAATGTTTCTAAGCTCCATAGTAGTGACATGAGGCTCTGGTTGCCAGCCTTGTGGTTGATTAATCACTGGCTTAGGCTCAATGTCTATTTCCCCTATGTCACCTATACCAATAATGAAGTTATGCAGAATGCAAGCTGTTTTTATGGCACTTGTTAGCTGAGTGATGGTCACAACTTTAACCAACTTCCTAAACATCCTCCAACGACCTTTAAGCAATCCGAAACTTCTCTCACATGCCATCTGTAAGGAACCAACTCGCCGAGGTGTCGTAGGCTAAAGGAGCCCCGAAAGCATAACCAAAATGATAAAGAGTTCATCGGATGGGACCAAGTCTAAGATCGAGTCCAAGACCGACTCTAAGACCAAGTTCGAGATAGAGTCCGGAATCGAGTCCGAGACCGACTCGGAGACCGAGTTTGAGACCGAGTTTGAGACCGAGTTCGAGACAGAGTCCGAGATTTGAAATCGGGTCCGAGACCGAGTCCGAGGTCGAGTCCAAGGTCGGGTCTGAGATCGGATCCGAGATCGAGTCTGAGATTGAGTCTGAATCCGAATCCGAAGTCGGATCCGAGATCGAGTCCGAGATCGATCCAGAGACTAAGTCCGAGTACTAATACGGGTCAAGGGGTGAAAGCCCAAAGCATGCATCTCCCAGGGGGGGGGGGGGGGGGGGGGGCTGCCAGGGGGTTAACCCCCAAATTTTTCCTTTCCAATTTGGTAGATTACCTCGCCTATCCGGCCGGGACATGCCTTGGTTTTTGTGAAATTCCCCCCCCAAGGTTTTCCCCTAAGGAACCAACCCCTAATTGGGCCCCATTGGTTTTAGCTACCCCCGGGATGGGCAACGGGGGGTTTACCCTCCTTCCCCGGGTTTCCAATTTTTTCCCAATCCCCCCCCCGGGGTTAAAATGGGTTTAAGGGTCGGGTAATCTCCCCGCGGGGGCAATAGGGCAAATAAACCAAGCCCTCCGGGTCCTAAAAATCCTTGGTACAACAAGACTTGATCATGGGACCCTCTAAATCCCAAGCCTTGGGTGCAACACTTGCTTCGGGATGTCGGGGTGAAACACTGTGGCCTAACGGCCCGGTATGGGTACCTCTACCCCCCCCCCACTTCCATCCCGAAGGAAGGCCCAAGCCCCTAGGAAGGGCGAGGACTAATGAGCCGCATGGTACTCAAGTGGGGCACCACTCCACATGAGCCGGGAGCACCGCAATCGGTTTCCCTTTCGGGAGTGGGAGCTGCTCTTGAGCACTTCCTTGGATGGCCCCTCTGGCACCAACCAAGTCCATGCTCACTCCCACCCAAGGCCCCTCGGTCCCAGTCCCAACCTCAAGTCAGTTTGGGAGCCCCACTGGAGAGTCCCTTCTAAACTGGTTCCTGGACCTCACTATCCCTACTATACTTTTGGAACCCCCTGCAGCCCCCCCCCCTGGGAGACGCACACTTTGGGCTTTCACCCCTTGACCCATATTAGTATTTGGACTTAGTCTCTGGCTCGATCTCGGACTCGATTTCGGATCCGACTTCGGATTCGGTCTCGGACTTGATCTCGGACCCGATCTCGGACCCGACCTCGGACTCGACTTCGGACTCGGTCTCGGACCCGATCTTCGACTTGGTCCCATCCGATGAACTCTTTGTCATTTTGGTCATGCTTTCGGGGTTCCTTTAGCGTACGACACCTCGGCGAGTTGGTTCGTTACAACTCCACCACCCATAGAAGAAGTTCGATGCCCACATCGAACGTCTCTTTTTTATCCTACGACTTGTTGACCATGTCTCCGGGGGCATCCCCCCACTTAGCGGTGTGCCTAAATTAGCCTCCCTGGCCAAGAGCCCATGACAACGGAATATAGGTGTCCCTATACTCCTCACCTCACCACGCCCTAGTATGGGGTCGGGACTTGAACCCAGCCTTGCTTTACTAGGGGGTTGGGACTCGAACCCAACCTCCGTAGAATACGTCTACGGATTCGACATCCCCGCAGGGAGTCGGGCGTAGCTCCCTACGCCTGGTCGACCTAGCTAACCCATGCTAATTAGCTTACCTTCAGCGCGCCTTCGGGTCCCAACGTATGCCACTTGCTCAATTTTGCAAATTGATATTTTTAATTGAACTTTGCATAAGTACATAGAGTTCTGCCTTGCAGAAATTCCTCCACTAGATCTCGCGCATTCGCTAGGTTTTCCTCCGGTTCCCATGTTGCTTCGCAGTGTGGAAATCCTTTCCACTTCACATGGAACTCTCTCACCTCGCGTCCTTGTCGCTTGCTCTTGCGCGCATTGAGGATGGCCTTGACTTTGTATTCCTCTTCCCCTTGGATAACCTCAGGTAAAGGTCTTACTTGGTCTTTGCGAAGCGGATCCTCAAAGTACGGCTTGAGTAAGTTCACGTGGAACACTGGGTG